CATCCATCAATCACTATAATGAATCAATGAAAATCTTTTTAATCAATGTAAATCACAATTATATATGTATACATATATGATTCGTGCTGAAGAAAGGCCAAATTAAAAGTACCCGTAACCGGCGAGCGTGTATGAAAAGATAGATGAATGTGGAAGAAGCGAAAGAGGTTTGTTTGAATCGAAGCATTTGGCGTTCCATTGTTTCTGCCTACCCTAATGGGAGACAGGCGTGACAGATATGTATGTATGTATGTATATATGATTCAATAACATGAATTGTATGTGATGTTAACTAGTATGACAAGGTGAGTTTTATCATACAAACTGTCATCACATTGACAGCCTTCGTAATTTTAGCTCACCGAAGTGTGATACGTCAGAATATCTGTCAATGTCCAAAAAATAATTTATAAATCTTAACAAACAATCTAACGATAGTTTTTTGACAGAAATCGCTCCCTCTAGATATATGTGATCTAACGTTTCTTGCCAGTTCTTTTCGGCTAAACCTGCTTTCGGTTTAAAGGGATTCATTTTCTTTAAATGCAAATGAAATGTAATGACGTGAAGGCATAACATCATAGTCTTTAATGATATCATCATCATATTAGCTCGTCCAGTCCTGAAGGTAAGCCCCTTCCACAGAACCACCTGCAATTACTGACTTCCTGCAATGCATTTGAGGTGGTCACTCCATCTCCACTCCATCACCAGAGGGAGACTTTGTACAAAAGTCGATTGCTTAGGTTCTTATTCTGTCCCATTCGTGTTTCAACCGTGAAGCAGTTGTATTTGCATGACTGTGTTTCGGTTTGAAGGGTGGGATATGGCGTGAATTTACTGGGTACAGAGGTACACCTGAGTTCTCAGGAATGGCAACGCATAGGGGGTATCACGGGCATGGAAACAGTATACTCTGTTATGTCCATGGTACTGCTCATGTCTATAGGCGCGATTACCACTTTCCATCAGGTGGGCCGTCAGCTTGTTTGCCATTTTAAGTTGTATAAAAAAAAACCACCAACTGAGCCATATACTCGTTTACCCACTGTGTTGTGTTTTGATGGGTGAAAATAGTATGGTAACCCCGCCTGCGCTAACGGGATACGCTGGCGGAGCACCAGTGAAGGGTGATAGATGAGAATGAAAACAGGCCAGTTAGCCCATCATGATGAATTCATCAGGAATTAACCATGATAGTTTCCAGGGGGAACCGCGAGGAGGTCGACCTGGTTGGGTATATTGCTAGCAATGGGATTCACAATCTCCATTACTAACAATCCCTTTCCCCCTTACCCACTGTGTTAGGTATAAAAAAAAATTACCTCTTTGTACTGTCAGCTTGTTCGCCATTCCAAGTTGCATAAAAATCACAATATATTATACTGATCGAATCGCCGTTTCAAATCAAACTGGTTTCTTATATATTAAACATTTTTCCTAAATATTATAATGGCAATACATAACATCTTATGTAGTACGAGGTAACCACTACAAGTTGGTTTTACGTAACATATTTTTCAATAATCACCTTTGAGTTTTGACGTGGATTATAACTAAGATTATGTCAAAAGACGATGCGACAGATGACAAATATATATATATATATATATTAGAGAGTGCAAAACAAGTGGATCCAAGTATGTATTGTACAATCACTCGCAATAAAGTCGATTAAAAATATTTTATAAATTAATAATTAATTATTTATAAATTCATCGATAATTCAACGTTGCTACATTGATTTTTATTCGCAATTTTAAGTAACCATTGGTCTGTTCGCGAAATTTTGGAGAAATAAACTGAAACTTTTAATTTACAAGTGCAATAAAGAAAAATTCCAGAGTGGTGACCCCGTATAGGCAAACGTAAGTGTAGGATGCACCCCCACTAGATGGAGTGACGATCTCAAATGCATTATACAAACATAATAACAATTATTAATAGTCATAGAAATTAAGGTTAAGGAAGACCTATCTTTTTTCTTTTTTTTTCGGCGTTACCTTTGTTTTTAATTACTTGTAGTGAAAAACTGCAGACATTTATGATTGGTGATGAAGTGATGATCAATTTAGAGAACAAAATGACATTCGGATAAAAATAAAAATTGCATCTGGCTATCCGGTAAAAATTGTACATTTTAGATTATATTATACATATAATGTACAAGGTCAAATAGAATTTTGTCCTTAAAGCGTTAATGCAGAGAGCAAAGAAAAATGGTGATGACCTGACCTGAATTTCGTTTCTGAACATGACCAAAAACGAAATGATATGTACATATACATAATATATTGTAATATAGCTCTGTTTTATTTAAAATACTAAATAGGCTTGACTGTTTTTTTTTAATCTAAACTCGTAGAAAGTAGAGCATCGATGGTTAAAAACGGATCAAAATTCAATCTATTATATTATATTATCGTATATATAAAGGGGGGTAAAGAGGTTTCTTCAGAGTCGGCAACGCGCGCGTAATACCTCTGGTATTGCAGGTGTTCATAGGCTACGGTAACCACTTACCATCAGGTGGGCCGTATGCATGTTTGCCACCTCAATGGTATAAAAAAAATATTTTATTGTAGCCCGATTAATCTGACTGTACATATTTTGTTTATGATCTCTCGTGAGAAAATCAAGCGGTTTGATGTAACGCAATGTTTCCGCTCGTTTAAATAATAATTAAACCAGTTTCGGATGAAAGCGTGTTGGCGCCAAAAGATTGAGACTGACATTAGAAAATGTCGGCCATATTTATTTTTGATTTGTAAGTAGTTGTCATAAATAAATGCAGTTAATAAGTTTTTTGAAAACAATAAAAATAGATAAAATTTACTAGGTAATTTATTAAAACAATTAAAATTTCCTAACTTATCATCTCTCACTGGTGTCTCGTCAGTTTATACCGCTACCGAGATTTCCATTCCATTTTTATGCATTAAAAAAGGTAATGTAGGTTAGGTTAGGATTGGTTTTGCGGCCAGTACAAAACAAACCACAGAGTTGACCATAGACAAAACACTATAGAGAAAAGTAGGTTAGACTAGATTTGGTTTGGTGAAAGATCGAAAATGATTTTTTTTTTATAAAATCTATATATTTATACCAATTCATTTTAACAAACTTAGGATTTACTAGTTAAACCTAAGGACAGGTTTACTTTTCTATTTATATTATAAACGCAGAAGCTTGTAAGGTTAGATGTTTATGTTACTCTCACGCATAAACTACTGAATGGATTTGAATGAAATTTACATGGGTAAGTTTTTCCAATGGTTGATAATAAAATAGCAACCCCGCCTGTGTTAACGGTATACGCTGGTAGAACACCAATGAGGGATGATAGGTGAGGATGAAAAGGCAAGTCCATGATGATGATTACACCTGGGATTCAATACAATGGTGTCCAGGGGGGGGGGGATACGTGAAGATTGACCTGACAATGGCTAGCAATGGGGCTGGTAGTCTGTATTACTAGCAATCCCTTTCCTCCCAAACGGATGGGTTATATCCTAACTTAGCTTTATGCACTGTCTCATGAGGGAAAACATAACATTCACCTTTATGTATTACTATCTGAATTCCGCGGCTTCTCCGCATTTTCAGTTTCATTTATACATTCATATACAAATTAATTAAAAGTGTAAAACGAAATTGATCCGTGTTGTAACCTTCTGTCTTGGCAAAAATAGAATAAGAACTGAAGACCTTAATCTATGTTGACAAAATTTAATTACTTTTTTTAGATAATATTTGAATTTCGAACAATTAGTTATTGAAAGAAATATGAAGAAATAATTCTCTTGGAACTGCATACAATCTTGTAATCTTCACGAATATACGATAGTTTAGAAATGTGACACATTCACATACAGTTGAAATTAGCAATTAATTTGCCGGAAGACATTCAAGGAAGCGTTTAAAGATTATACCGTAATTAACTATTCGATTCGCTAATTTCCCCTGACTAATAAATTATTATTGCAATACATACAGTTTAATGTATTTTAGGTATTTTTTTATAAAACTTAGAATGGCAAACAAGCTGACGGCCCACCTGATGGAAAATAGTAACCGTCACCTATAGACATGAGCAGTACCATGGACATAACAGAGTATACTGTTTCGCCCGTGATATCCCCATGCGTTGCAATTCCTGAGGACTCAGGTATTATTCCTCTGTACCCTGTAAATTCTCGCCATATCACACCCTTCAAATCGAAACACAGCCATGAAAACACAACTGCTTCACGGTAGAAACACGAATGGCACAGAGGTACCCAAGCAATCGACTTTTGTACAACATCTCCCTCTGGTAAATATTATTAGGTAGAATCGTTCTTGAGTTTATCCCTTACAAACAAACAAACCAATCTTTCCTCTTTATAATATTAATATAAACAAATATATGCTTTACGCCTAAGAAACGTAATGTTTTTATAGATAAAAATAGATTAGGACTCAGGGACTGATCCGACTTCATCCGCATCTACCGTGTTCTATTCCAAGTGAATTCATCACAATGGGCTAACTGACCTGTTTATTCATTCTCATCTATCATCCCTCACTGGTGCCCTGACAGCGAATACCGATGACGTAAACGGGTATACAATTACATTATCTCATAAAAAAATAATTGTGACTAAATCTTTCATTTTAGTTAAAAAAAAATATTATTAAAATCAGTTTGAAGTTGCTGAAGATACCCGAAGACGTCGCGTAACCGCCGACACAAAAAAGCAGCTTCTCGGAAATAAATTTACCCACGACTGTAATTCCTATTGAGACAGTCAGATCCATTTGTCGACTGTTGCCGTCGTGGTTAACGTAACACACGACAAAAGCAGTAAACAAAGATATTAAATGAGAAGCTTACTAATTGCAAAATATATTATAGTTAAGTGCATTTCTTCTATACATCCTACCACTACGTATTTGTGATTGGAAAGGAAGCGTGGATTAGATTTGCGCCAGTCGACTAAACGCGCGCGAACACGACAACCGCCGTGGCATTATACGAAGAATTTCTACGTCCGCGTAGAAAAAAAAAATCGACACGATATGAACGGTACAGATTAATTAATCGATAGTGAATTTAATTTTATCTGTTTTTGTTGTGCGTGATTTGTTATATTTAATCTGTGAAGTTAGAAAATTCGTAGAGTAAGTAATTTATGATTAAAAAATTTGAGCTTTGAGTATTCTTTTAAGCAATTTTTTTTCGACAAACAAACAGAACTATACTGTAATATACAAAAATTGTCTAGACCAATACGGACTGGTATTCTCACGAATAGAAATATTTGTAGCATGCCCAAATCGAACCTGCAATTATCAAGAGACGAGACAGTGTGATAAACCATAATACTTCCCAGGTTCTCAATATTATGTTTTTAAAAAAATAATAATAGTTAGGGGGTTAGTTTGCCATCTCCTCTCCTTAAGAGGGGAGATGTGAATTTTCTAGAAATTTAAAAAATAATAATAAAGAATACAACCAAATGCAAATCTCTATTTAAAAATCGAAAAAATTTAAAAATATAATCAAAAAAATTATGATAATTAATTTGTTTACAAAATTTACATATTATAATCTAAGGTACATGTATATTTAAAAATGGTTACTAAGTCAGAAAATTAAAAACAATCTACTACCTAGATCTTGGGATTTTTTAATCGAATTGCAACACCAAAAAATGGCGCGCAAATTTTTTTTTAAAGAATATGTGTGACCTGTTTTAGATACTTGATGCCAAAAACCTGTCTCTACTTACCTCTTATAGTTCAGATTGTCTCCTTTATTTTTTATGGAAGACAATTTAATTATACCCAGGTCAGTAAACATATCCCGGTCCCGTGACTTCGCACGGGCAAAAGTTAGTATGATACAAAGGAACATTTATGCTGGAGCTTTGTTTTATCTATGGCAAAGACAATAGAAATAATACCACATTCCATAAAGTACATTTACGGGGTCGTACCCCTTAGATAATATATCTTCTTTCGATCTACTCTCATTTTCTGCTCTTACATTGATGAGATTATGCACATGTAATTGCATATAATGGATAATGTAACACGCCACGAGCTAATATGTGTTTGTTAACTGCATATTGTCTTAAATGGTACATTGGCACGCTTTACGTGCAATTATCAGATACTAGCGACCTGCCCCGGCTTCGCACGCGTAGGTAACATATTAGTCATTACCTTTAAAAATCCTATAGCTCTAATTATTATGAGAGAGTAACAACAGCCATATGCGGGGGAAAGGGATTGTTAGTAATGGGGTCAAATAGTCCCATTACTAGCAATATACCCTGTCAGATCGACCTCCACGTGGTTCCTCCTGGAAACCATTGTGGCTAATTCTAGTAGAATTCGTCAGAATGGGCTAACTGACCTGCTTTCATCCTCATCAGTTATCTATTACTGGTGCCCCGCAAGTGTATACCGATACCCACCTGCGCTACCGGGATACACTGGCGGGGCACCAGTGAAGGATGATTGGTGAGGATGAAAAGGCAGGTCAGTTAGCCCATCGTGATGAATTCATCAAAAATTAACCACGATGGTTTCCAGGGGGAACCGCGTGGAGGTCGACCTGTTAGGGTATATTGCTAGTAATGGGTCTGTTGGATCCCACTACTAACAAACCCTGTCTCCCCAGTTACCATACCATTATCACCCATTATAAAAAAACAAAGTCATATTTTATTATATTTAAAAAAAAAATAGATGTACAAGTGCAACGTGGGGGCAGAGGCTAAACTAAATATCATCATCATCATGTCCGCCTCTAGCTGTTCACTGCTGAACATAAGCCTTCCCATTTGGAGGTTTTGCCAGTAGTTGCCACGCTTAGCAGGCGGATTGGCAACCGCAAATAAATGAAATACTTAAATATTATGCCCCACAAAAACCGACTTCAGTTGTAACAAAACTAGTTGTTATTTTGATCTAAAAATTAAACTAACTAGGCCGATTTTGATAAAATTTCTATTGGATCAATCTGCTATTAATATTCTTTCACATAAAAAAAAATTACCTAATCGGTATACAATTGACGAAATTATGAGATGACAAATTTAAAAAAAAATTACAACCGAATTGGATGATACAAAAGGATGTTCTCATCCTTTTCGAAGTCGGTTGATTTATTTTCTTTTTTATTTATTTAAAGGAACACCATATTGCATTATAACATATGTAGCAATAAATTGTGTTTCAACCGTGAAGCAGTTGTGTTTGCATGGCTGTGTTTCGGTTTGAAGGGTGGGACTTGGTGTGAATTTACAGGGTACAGAGGAATAACACCTGAGTCCTCAGGAATGGCAACGCATGGGGGATATCATGGACGAAACAGTATACTCTGTTATGTGCATGGTACTACTCATGTCTATAGGCGACGGTTACCACTTTCCATCAGGTGGGCCGTCAGCTTGTTTGCCATTCTAAGTTGTATAAAAAAAAAAATACTTGAATAATAGTTATTTACTTAACATTATACTAATGTCGTGAGTGTTTTACACGATTTTTTAATTATTTTTTTTTAAATAGGAGACAGTTACCACTTTCCATCAGATAAGCCGCCAGTTAAAGCGCAAACATGTTTAACATTCACCTTAGAATATTTACCAGTTTATTTCCCACGGCTTTATCTGAGGAATTAACAAAAATACTACATACCTACTAATCTATAGACATAATGCTTGTTTGCCATCTCAGTGGTATAAATATGTATATAAAATTTTCGTGTCACAGTGTTACTTGCAATACTTTTCCGAAACGGCTTAACCGATTTTGATGAAATTTTCTATGCATACTCGGTAGATCTAAGAATAGATCTAGAATGTTATCTATTTATATAATCTTAGGTGATAAGAGTGGCCCATCCAACGTTCCAAAACAATGTTTGCCAGGTCAGCTAGTCTAGCAGGTAATAGCCCTTAAAATAAAAATAAAACGTATAAAATTTCGTAGTTTCGCTACCGAGCGATTAACAAAAGGCTTCGAACTAATCTAATCTGTCAAACCCCATTATAAACAGCCCTCTTTCCCCATTAGTGTCACTAGAATGTATTAATATATAGGTATTAGTTATATAAGCCTCAAAAATCATTATATTTATTTATTTATCTATTCTTTATTGCACAATAAAATTTTGTACAAATGGCGAGCTTAATGCCATATGGCATTCTCTACCAGCTAACCATTGGGTAAAAACAGAAAGCGTATGAAGGGCAGATGTGGTGAAAAATATGTGACAATTACAGTAACACATTAAGGCAATACACAATATAAATATAATATACACATAAGAAATGCACATATAATACATAAACATTACTTTTAATATATATGGATAAATTAGTACATAGATATATATATATATATATATATATATATATATATATATATATATATATATATATACACATCTCCATTGCTATTCAGCGTGGAAATGCAGCAAGTCTCCTAGGTACCCTACCAGTGATCTTAAGAAATTTTTTTATCTTTAACTATTTAAATTTATAAAAAAAAAAATATTGATATTTTAGCCTAGTCTTCATTTGGAATTATCTCAATTCGACAATACATACATACATATACATAAATTAAAACAACGATAAGCATTATGAGATATAATAACTCTCGAGTAACCTGTAACTAGAGCTGGTTTTGTTGACTCAACAAATAATTAATAAGTCTTCTTTTAAAAATACCCTTACTTGATGCTCTGCGTAGATCTACAGGGATTCTACTCCAAAAGCTGATAGCGGTGACAGTATATAAGACAGTATAGTTATATATTTCTGTATCTCTATATCTCTATAGGTATTTCACTGTTTGTTTTGTTTGAGCGGGAATCAAACACCAACAAGATTGCCAATAATCTATATATTAATACGTAAAGCAAAAAATTTGTATTCCTTTTTACAAAAATTGTGCGGACGGAAGAGTATGAAATTTCGCACACTTATAGTTTATATAGAGCAAGAGAAGAATGCTATAATAATATTTTTATTTTTAATTACGCATAAAAATACATTAAATCAATAAAAAAAAAACATTACGCACACACTAACATGTATTTCACATACGCATATAAACTCATTTATTTATTGTTAAAGTCTATGGTCAAATTGAGAATAGATTAAATTTGTTTGTCTTTAACATGATTTGTCTATAGTCTTACTGAATGACAAACATAAGCATAATAAATTAATTTATTACAATTTTTTTTTTATACAACTTAGAATGGCAAACAAGCTGACGGCCCACCTGATGGAAAGTGGTAACCGTCGCCTATTGACATGAGTAGTACCATGGACATAATAGAGTATACTGTTTCGCCCATGATACCCCCCATGCGTTGCCATTCCTGAGGACTCGGGTGTTATTCCTCTGTACCCAGTAAATTCACGCCATATCCCACCCACAATATGTTATGGTCGAATTTCGACCACTGGGCGACCACTAGTGTAAATAAATATTTCTTTTTATTTATTATATATATAATAATTTCGTTTTCATTAGCAAAATGTGTGAAACGGTTTTAGCAAATGCAATAAAAAATCGCACTAGATTGATGTGAACGCCGCATGCTATGTCATTAGGGTTGTCATTAATTAGTTTATTTTAAACATTTGCGTTGTTTACACATATTTTAAGTACACAATCAGGACTTGAGATATGTAGATACAGTAGTACTTACATACTTATACAGGGTGTAATAAAGATAACAAAGATACTACTTATGATATATTTTGTTTCGTATTTTTTTAGGACGGCCATAAGTTGAACTATAAGATGTTTCAAGGTTATCCATTCATTACCGGATATATATATATATATATATATATATATATATATATATATATATATACTATAAACTTTTTTCATCGCGTTAAGTCCCGATTGTGTCGCTGTCTGTCCGTCCCTATGTACGCTTAAATCTTTAAAACTACGCAACTGATTTTGAAGCGTTTTTTTTTTAATAGATAAAGTAATTAAAGAGAAAGGTTTATATGTATAATATAGTAGAGAAACACTTATAATTTTAGATATTTCCAATGTGATGAGATGAAGTGTGCACCCGTGCGAAGTCGGGGCGGGTCGCTAGTTTATTTATAAAGTAACATGGTACTGATATGTTTTTT